CTTCTTTAAGTAATTATTACCTGAAAAAAGTACGATCAAAACTGCTAGAATATGGTAAAATTTACTGTTTCTATATCGATGGAAGCTGAGAGATTTTTACCGATCCGCTTTTTTTTTTAATTATTATTATAGGTAAAAATAACAATAAAATAGGGTTTTATAATATGTGATAAAATTTGGAAAGAGTGATAAAATTTGGTTACTTCATCATGATACCTTATAATAGCATAGAGCATAACAGCTAAAGATAAATTTACTATTTAATTTTGTTTTTACTAAATGTGTGATAATATAATTTTAAAAAACAGAATTTCCAGTAAACTGTTACGCATGAAAGGAAAAGTAACCAAATGAATTGTTTAAATACCTTATATTATGGTTTTATTAACCAGAATATCTTTTTTATTTTTTTCCAAAAATGTATACCATACAGTACAGTAATTTTACCAGAAATTTTTTCTCGTTGTGGGAAATTATTCTTATAGGAATTGTGTTTCATTTTAATTTTCAAACATGCAGTTCGGGTTTAAAAAATATTACAAAATCTAATGCAATCCTAATTGTCCTAAAGTATATTTTTAATAAAATAGTGGTACAAAAAAACTTAATCTAAGTTTGTAACTAGTGATGTGATCGCTTTTCCAATAGAGCCCAAAACGTAAAAAAGTTTTTACCGATTTAATTTGTTTTTAATTATTACCTGGAAGATTATGAGAAATCAGATCCATCATAATAAATTTTATTTATTATTTAACAGTGTATTTCTTTAATATAAAATTCCCTTAAAATCTAAAAGAAATGGATTGCTTTCTATGTTCAATAATGTGCCCCTTTTTAATATTTATATGTATTTAGTGTAATTCAGTCTTCATAACCATGTGCTAAGTTTTTAAAAGTTATATGATAATCAGATAAAATAGTTTAGTACAGATTCTATTGGAACATGCCGAAAATTCATGCGCTACTTTTAAAATTAATCAGTAATGGAAGAAGGATATTTACTACGAAATGGAACTTAATGGTTAATAATTATAAGAATATTAAACATAAGTATCCTAGCAAATTGTCCCCAGTGGTGGCTTGAAGCCCACCTGGCTTCAGAGCGATGAATACCAGCTTATCTAGGAAATAAAGGCGGCATGTGTCCAATGTTGACCACATATTGGCACAATCGCGTCGCTCGTCACGAAGTTGTGAAGCCTTCTTTTCAACCATCTCCTTTAGCCTACTATGGGTTGTTAAGGGAATGGTTTACATTTCTTATTCTATGAAATTAAACCTAGAAATTTATACTTTTAACAAATTCGAATATAAATTTAGAGTTCAAAAACAAACTAGATGTTTTCTAATGCTATAAAACAAACATAAGTTAAAATTATACTTCAAACTTTCATCAGTTACAGAAAGAGTCCTCAAAAATCATTGCACAATGTTAATAGAAAATAACTGCAATTAAAAAAAATTATAATGTGTGTACCGTAAAATAACCTAAATAACTAGTAACCACAATTATAAACTAATATTGAAATCCTTTGCAGCAATAACTGGGAAATAGCGATTGAAAAAACACATGGATTAACTATAAAATTGGCGCATAATTGAGCAAATGTGTTTAGAAATCGAAAGGAGATTGCTTGAATGCAAGATTAGAGACTCTATAACAAGCCTTCAAAAGCAACACAATTTTAAAATTACTACACTGAAATCCATGGGTGTAACTGCTAAAAAAAAAAAGCGATCAAAATACTGAGGAAATTCACGACTGAATGAGAGCGAACCGAGCGCATAAGTCAAAAAACTATGGTGCAGTAATTATCTTGTATTAAAAAAATAAATAAACACACTAAATTCAGTTTTATTTCAGGAAAATAATAATAATTCAAATTTTGAGGAGTAAAAAATAGTATAGTTATCTTTCGCATAAATGGCCTTGAACATAGATGAGAAATTTTTAAATTTTATGGTTGTGATAGAGGTTGTGGAGAGACAGTTTGAAACACTTAAACAAAAAATAATGAAAGAAATACCACTGACTACAATTTTAAATATTTTGAAGGCCATCATCATCCAAAATAAAGTAATGAATAAGATTTTAAAAAAAAAAGAGTTCTTCATATTCTAAATTTAAGAATTCATTTTCAGTTTTTCAAATTAATTTGATCCGTCTGGGATGCATATTTAACTGATTTATTGATAACATAGACACCCTCTTTTCCAGTAAAAATTTCCATGCATCATAGTAAAACAACTGGCAGGCGCACACAAAACATTATAAGAAAAAAGAGAATATTTTATATTTTCATCAAATAAATAACAATAAAAAAACTATAATTTCAACTCAAATTATTATAATCAATCTTGGTTATATTCTTTTAAAATTTGAGCAAAAATGCACTAAAATTCTACAATTAAAAAATCTAAGTAAAATTTTAAAGAACTTAAAAAATTTACTTTCATTTTACTTTAAAAAAAATCATTAATTAAATCAAGATTAAAAATTAAATCATATTAATGTCATGTTCCTATTTATAAAAAGATTCTTAAAAAAATTAAGTAATTTAAAATTTTTGTGTCCCTATCCATATCAAATTAAAATATATCCTGGTAAATTAGGTACCCCCTAGTTTGCTCATTCAATAACCGAAACAAGGCAATCGTATAAATGTACAAGATTTTATATGGCACTTACGACAAAGATACATTCTTCAAAAGTAAAAGGGGATAATAATTTATCAGCCTATTTAACACAAGGCAAAAGGTCAGTGGCCATACATTAATAATTCTAGGGTCACAGATTGTATAGTCCTTATGAAAAATATGAAATAAGAGAGAGAAGAGATTGTCGAATTTAAATTTGATGATATTTCATAATTTTGATGATATAGTGATATGAGTACAATTTATTGTTACCGACATGGGAGTTTGGTAAACAATAATAAAAAAAAACACAGAATTAAATTTTCACATCTAAGAAAAAAATTATAAATGCATTACTTTCAATTTGATGATATGTTACTTTTAATGACAAGCCTCAATGATAATTATACAAGAAAGTTAAAAACCTTTCTCTAACATTGGTATTCTTAGGACTAAAGTATAATAAATGAGTGATATGTGCACAGTTCATGGTAAGTCACATAGAAAATTAATAGTCAATTAAAAAAACCACACAATTTAATAAATTTTAGAATACACATTTACCCAATGAATAATCCTAAGAGCAAAAATTGCTTTCTGCTTCCTTTTCCTATCAAAGAGAGCAGTGCACATGTTATATAACATGCTCAATTTATAATTATTCTGCACATCCATGCTACACATTTTTCCTTTAGTATCAAGAAGTTTAACAACAGCAAAATACCTATCAATTCCTTTGGAGATATATTAACTATTAAGTTGAAAAGTTCTCAAAATTTTAAAACTATGTGTAAAAAGAAAAAGTATTATTATGTAGTGCAAGTATTATCCTGTAGTGACTTTATTTGTAAAATAAAAAACAAAAATAAGAAATTTATTTTTAAAATTTTCCTATTAAGAAATATAAAGTTTCCTCATAAATGTAAAACAAAAACTACAAAATTTTTTTTATCCCATTTAAATTAATACAGTAAGCCTAAGAAAACTACACATGTTGGATTTTATTACCTTTCATTTAAAATTATCCAATTTTATTACTTATACTTTCTAAAGATTAAAGAGCAGAATTGAGTGTTCCTTGGATTGAGCAGAGTATTTTGAATTTTATGGTGTAAATAAAATCTTACATTTTCCTACTTTATTATAAAATATTATTATAATTTTACATTATTATAAAATAACATTTTAAAGTCATTTCCCCAGCTTTTTGTAATAATATCAAAAAATTGGCCATGTATTAATGGGCACCTGATAGTAAATTTGCATCCATTCTAAAAATAATTTTTAAAAAAAACAAGCAAATAAAATTTCATATTGCTTTGCGATATACAAATTTCACACAATCATATTCATAAAGTAGCGAGGATAACCATTCAAATTTTATTGAACAGCAACTTCAAAACATCTATTTCCAAAAAGCAGAAAATATAAGTAATACAAAGAACAAAATTAAAAAAAAATTATTATGTATTTGAGTCAGGAGACATAGAATAATTTTGAATTGTAGCTTGATTTTTTTTTTCAACTATATCACCTACAATTGAAAATGTTTATAGAAATTGAGTCTTTCAATTGTTACTTAATATTTATCATGAAGCTCAATAAATAATTTAACGTATTAGATTTCTCAATTGCTTGAAACTAGAATAATTAAAACAAAATTTTAAACACATAATTAATAACTTAATAGCAAATAACAAAGATGGTAAGCAGTTTATTTAGTTAATAAGCGTATCAATAACAATGTTGTTCTGTCAAAACCTTTTGTGAACGATTAGAAACAACAAAACAGGTGTACGTGAGGAAGTGCAAATTATTAAAAGAGACTAACCAAATTGCGAGAGTTTTCTTCGTCACTTTCTAACCCCATTTTTAACGAAAAAGCTTGTATTTTATTAAGAATTAATCAAAATTAATACATTTAAAATTAATAAAATTCATAACCTTGTTCTTTCATAAACATAGAGCTGAGCTCGATCAATGAAAGTAGGAAATCTCAAACAAGTTTAGAGAACACAAAGAACAAATAAAGTTGTATTTTTGTTGTCTAATATTACGTGTGCAAAATCACTTCTGAGGCAACGCATACACGTCACCATTCATAATCGTAGAATTTGATTTCTGAATCGATATATTTCAAATCACCAATCAATATGAAACAAAAATAAAAGATAAAGGCTTTGTTTTTCCTTTTCAGATGTGATCATCGTGATTCATTAGGAATTTAAATATCACTAAAGAAATTTGATTTTATTGACTTTTTAATCATTTCTGCGGTAACGCATATTCGTCACCATTCATAATCCGAGAATTTGATTTCTGAATCGATATTTTTCAAATCACCAATCGATATAAAACAAAAATAAAAATAACAGATACAGGCTTTGTTTTTCTTTTTCAGATGTGATCATCGTGATTCATTACGAATTTAAATATCACTAAAGAAATCTGATTTTATTGCCTTGTTGTCTTATTAAATTTCAGTATTTATCTATTCATTTGATCGTAAATGATGTGATTTCAAATGGTTTTCGTGAATGTCAGATATTACGTTTGGACAAAAGAAAACATTTTGTAATGAGTAAAGAGTTTATGGTCCTGTGAAACTGTCATATTCATGCATTTTTATTCCAATGTTGATTTTTTTGGACCGGACGCTACTCGCACTAATGTTGTCTCCGACTGGATGCTGCAATCTTTAATGAGAGAGATGTCAAAGCCAGAAAATAATGTAAATGCTTTGTCTTGGCGACGTCTTCATTTAGCTAGAGCCAAATTAAAAGCCTCTAGTCGAACTTCCGCTCTATTATCTGGATTTGCAATGGTGAGTTTCTAAATTGTTTGCAAGCAGTATCTCTTTAAATTGAAAGTCCGTGTGAACTAGTAGGTACTCAACGAGTTTAGAGACGCCGATAGCTTGGATATTTAATAGGGGAAATGGTCTTAATTCACACATTGAAAATTTTGTGCTTACAGTATTGAATCGTGAAATTTTGTTTGATAAAAATTTACGATTGGGTGCTTTTATTTTTAACAATTTTTTTTTGTACTCCAAGATCTGCGCCAAACGGCAATAAATAGTTTCTTTAAAAATGTTTCTTAAAGCGCCATATTTACATCCAAAAAAATGAATCTTTACAATGATTTACTTAAAAAAAAATTTGTCTCTAATATAAAGGGGGACCCAATTCTATGCTACTACTACTTTTTGTTTAGTAAAGAAAATTGAATTAACTGTGTCAGGTATTAGTTTTCAAGAAAAGACAAAATTTGGGTACAAAAACAATAATTAAAACAATAGTTTCTCTATTATCTATATATCATAAGATTCAAACTTGCATTTATTTTATTAGTAAAAAAAATTAAGAACTTTCACTTTCTCTGTACATATATATGTAATAACTATACATTAATATTTTTATTGAAAATATGCTTAAATGAACTAAGACCAGTTTAAAATTCATCATCATGCCTGCGCCCTAGTTTTTAGATTGCACCTGGAAATTTCCCATTCCTATCATAATTTTTTTACTTTAATAAAAATTTTAAATTAAATAATTTGTTGGGCAGTCTGACAGAATTTAAGTTGTGTTTCGTTACTGGATAACATGAAATATTTTTTGCAAAGTTAAAAACCAAAAGTTTTACAAAGTTATTTAGAATTTTCCAAATTTCTGATTTCTTTTGTTTGTTAAATATTGATTCAAATATGTGTATGATGGTTGTTAGAGGTTTCTACATTGTAATCTGTTTCGCCGATTATAATTTTCAAGAGGCCAAATGGATTTTAAACTTTAAATTTTTTTTAAACAAGAACATGTTGAGGTTTGGTTACAAAATTTTGTAGTTGATCCCCTTCTGTAATTTTTTCTTTACTTTCTTAGGGGCCACTGGGATAGACTTTTTGGCTTAGATCACAGTAAATCTTCTCCTTGGTGATATCTATTATGGTGTTCCAACATGAACATACGCGATTCTCTAGAATGGTGCAAGGCACATTTTTTGGGCTTTTTTTATGGTGCAATGATGGTCATTTTATTCAACAAACTTAAATATAAGTTATTTTCCTACTGAAAATGTCCTTCAGTAAAAATCCTTCATTTACATGCATTACTTAAATTATAGTTATAAATTAAAAGTTTATTTCTATGTTGAGTTCAAAAGAAATGTAGGTACAAGCATATTTATAGAACACAACAAGATATTTTTTTAATTATTAGTTGAATTTTTTCTTCATAATTAAGAAGAAAAAAATATGAAATACTTTTTGATGATGTACAGTAGAGCGCCGATTATCCGAACTGCTCGGGACCGAACGTGGTTCGGATAATTGGAAAGTTCTTTAAAATCTAGTTTAAATGATTATTATTTGTGCACTCATTTTCCCTCACACTTTTTCCAAGCTCAGTACTGGCAGTACTATCTGAAATAGCTCTGGCATGTTAAAAAGTTTTTTTTTACAATTTTTAAATATTTTTTATTTATTTATGTTACTTTTTTTCATTTTGAATTATTTTTATCATATTTCAGCTTTTTATAATGTTTCTGTCAATTACTGATTTTACCACATTTTTCTTTATTTTCCATTGCAAAAGAAATCCAGCAAAGACTTTTGTTTCAAAGAAAGTGGTCTTTTTTGAGCAGCCATGTCCCCTATTCCAGAGTTGGCCAAAAATGTAATCGATTACATTTTTTGATTACAGTAATCAATTACTTGTAATCATGATTACAATTTTCAAATATTTTGATTACAGCTGTAATCATGATTACAATATTGATTACAGTAATCAATTACTTGTAATCATGATTCCAAGTAATTGCGATTACAAGTAATCACAACAAAAACGATTACAAGTAATTATGATTACAAGTAATCAAAATATATGATTACATGTAATTTGATTACATGTAATTTGATTACATGTAATTATGATTACATGTAATCTAATTACACGATTACAAGACTATTGTATTCTTATAAATGATTATATTTTACAGTAGATAGTAGAATGTATTTTATAATGATACATTTTGCACGTATTAACATGTACTGCATTTTGTACGTATTTGTATACGTACAAATGAATGTAACTGAAATGTATGTACATATGATTTTATCTAGTGCATATGTTCAGACATTTTAGTATCACACACATGTACATACACTTATATTGTAGGTATAAAATATATGTACGTATGTATATAGATAATAATTACGTATGTATGTGCAAACAATGTAGGCATGTACATTTATACACAATGAATATATGCATTTTATGCAAATATTTGTGTATGTAAAATGTATATCTATGTTCATGTACGCATGTATATACAAGTACTTGTGTTTGTACGAACATACATACATTGTCTGTACAATGTATGTCCCATGCATGTATGTGCAATTTATTTATGAACAGTACAATATATGTATGCATGTACAATATAGGTATATCTGTAGGATGTACAATATATGTATGTATACATGTACATGATATGCATGTCCAGTGTATTTATGTACATGTACATAATATGTTCATGCTCAATGTAAGTATCCAAATATGCATAATACATTTGTGAACTATTGTACGTACATTGGGCGTATTTATATTTCACATATATTCATACATGCATTCGACATGCATAACGTACGTACATACACACATTTGAGATGCATATATTGTACAGATGTATATACATATAGCGTACAGATGTATATACATATAGCGTACAGATGTATATTCATATAATGTACATATGATGAAATGAACATATAATGTTCATATAATGTACATATGTGTGTACATATACAGTACGTATGTGCATAAATATATTGGGCATAATTCTTTCGTACAAATTTTACATGTGTACATGCATGCTATCCCTATCTATGCATATGGTGCAATGTATATATGTACAATGAATGTATCCACACATGTACAATACACGTATGTTCCATGTATGCATATCCATATGTACTATATATGCACGTACAATACATGAATGTATGTACATACATTGTACATGCGTACATACATTACACGTATACATATGTACATTACATTTATGTCTAAATATGTGTACAATGCAATAAATAAAATGCATGTAAGTTAACTTTTAATGACTCAAGCAAGTTAAATGACAAAATCAAACGATATTTAAATTTAGTTTTCAGCTTTAATTGTTCTATATCATTTTGAAATTCTCTGAATAAAAAATTATTTTCAGGTATTTTCATGAAATGTTTGACAATACAGATTTATTTTTTTTATAACATAATGCATGATTCATAGAAATTTTTTAAATGGTAAGAAAAACGGTAAATTTTATGTGTGGAATTAATATTTAGAAATTCCAAATAAAATTATCGTTTGCTTTCTAAAAAATATGAGGTCGAGTTTCATATACCTTAGAATAATTTTAAAACAAATTTTAATAACTTTACTCATATAAATTTTTTTAATGTATGCACAATGTATGTGTATATTGTAATTACATATATTTAAATGTACGCACGTATTTGTACATTACTTGTAATTATGTACATGTATACGTTGTATGCACATGCATACATTGTGCATATAACTATTTTTTTGTACATCCATGCATTACATGCGCATAAGTATTAACAAAGTATGTAGTTATACAAGTACATACGTAAGTTGTACATAAGTACATACTTTGCGTGCACATATATCGATGTACATATAAATATGCATGTATACATGTACGCATTTTATTTACGCAACTATGTGCATATATTGTACCTTTAAATAACATTTTTACATATTGTACGCAAATACGTACAATTTTATATACAAACGTACATTGTATATACGTGCTATTATCGTAAATTTATACAATATATGCACTTAAGTACATAAAAGCATGCAAACGCATAAACATTATTTTCATATACGTTCATACATACATTGTCTATGTATACAAAGATACAAAACATTGCCTTTTTGTACAAACTAACATACATGCGTACATGTATCATAAATGCATAATTATATGTACTAAGCATATGCGCATTGCATTAAGTATATTACAATATAATTATGAATATTGTACGTACAAACAACGTTTGTGCATACATTGTATGTATAGGAATCGCAAATTGTACGTTCATGCGTGCGTACATTCTATGTACATAAAAATATGTAAACACATGAATACTTACATAAAAAATTTGACTATAGTATACAATCGTAATAACTTGTAATCGTATAGTTTGATTACAAGTAATCACAATTACATGTAATCAAATTACATGTAATCATGATTACATGTAATCATATATTTTGATTACTTGTAATCATAATTACTTGTAATCGTTTTTGTTGTGATTACTTGTAATCGCAATTACTTGTAATCATGATTACAAGTAATTGATTACTGTAATCAAAATTGTAATCATGATTACAGCTGTAATCAAAATTTTTTGAAAGTTGTAATCACGATTACAAGTAATTGATTACTTGTAATCGTGATTACAAGTAATTGATTACATAGCTGTAATTATCTGTAATCAATTACAGTTGTAATCGATTACTGTAATCAACGGCCAACTCTGCCCTATTCTTTCTAAATAATACAACTATACTGGATCAACATCATTTTGACGTTCTAGCCAATTCATTACAATATCTAATGAGTTGCATGCTTCTGTATGAGAAGTTCCACTATCTTGAACTTGATCACCTACTTCTTCCTCTTCGTCTGTGGAGTTCCGAATTTCATTCAAAATTTCAGCAACAATTTCATCATCATTTAAAATTTGAAATCCTGGGTCGTTTTCAGTGTCTCGACACCAGTCTTCTATTTTTTCTGCTGTATAACCTGGCATCTTTTCATCTGGAAAATATACTGGTTCAAAAACTTCAGTTTCATTTGCTTTTCTGTTAAAAATTTTATTCCAAGATTTAAGATTCCAAGCACTATAATCACAAATCATTAACCATAAGTGACAACTACCCATCCTCCAATTATAGAACATTAGCACTTATCTATTCATAAAATCTTTCCACATTCCAAGAATTGTAGAGAGTCAAAATGAAGCTCGCATTCTTGGACGATAATTTTCAGTTGAAGAGGTCTAAAGGGGTATGCAGGCTTAACTGCATAACAATTCATGTATGTATGGCTACTATAAGAAGACTGCTAAAAAAGGTTGTAAATTAAATATGGTTTTCAGGTGCAGTCGATATTATTTATTCTTCTAAATTTAGAAAAACTGCATATAAGTTAAGAAGTATTCTAAACCTTTAAAAAATAATAAAACGAATTCGGACATAGTTCGGATAATTGGACGTTCGGATAATCTGCGCTCTACTGTAGTTATTTTTAATTTGATGATTAAAATGTTATTTAATCTTTTTATTTTAAATGAACCCAAAAAAAGAGAGTTAAGGAGTTTTTTTTCTCAGCCATTTGTTTTATCTGCCTAATATGGGTACATTCTAATAGAAACGAGGTTGCTTTATTCGATAGATGGAGATGAAGCTGTAGTTATCCGCACCTGAGATTCTGATATATGGTCAAATCTGTTTGAGATTTAAATTTTTTATTTAAGTATTTCAGCAGTTTTGTAAACATAAAGAATAATTTTAAACATGTGATTTTATATTAAGTCCAATTTTATTTTATTTTAGGTTGCAATGGTTGAGGTGCAATTATCTAATAAAGTACCTACTGGCTTACTGATAGCATTCAGTATCTGCACAACGCTTCTAGTTGCTGTTCACCTTCTGGCTTTGATGATATCTACATGTATTTTACCCAATGTTGAAGCAGTGGCTAGTATTCATGGTCTGGCTGCAGTGTCAGAATCTCCACACGAGAAAATGCATCGGTACATAGAAGCAGCTTGGGCTTGTTCGACCGTCTTTGGGATTTTACTGTTTCTTGCAGAAATTGCTATACTTTGTTGGGTAAAGTTTTATGATTACAGTGTGCCAGCAGCTGCTGCAGCAACTATAATATTGATTCCAGTAGTTATTATCTTTCTTTTCTTTGCTGTTCATTTTTATCGTAAATTAGTTGCCCATAAATATGAAAGGTCCACTCAAGGATTGAGAGAGTTGGAGACAATGGTCACCCAACTACAGAACAATGGAACAGAGTTAGCTGTCAATGGACCTTATGTTATGACTGTATGATTCTTTATACGTCATTATTAAATATTCTTATTTATTCTATTGTGGCCATATCTGTGAAAACAACATAAGGAAGAAATAATGGCTGTTAAACATAGTACTTCCTTATGTTGTATGTCAGTGTATTGAAACCTTTATTGTTTAGATGTTAGGTTGCGCGTGGTTTTTTGTCTAAATGTGTGGTTGCTTTGGGCAAATTCCTTTTTTAACTATGGGAAGCTTTTAATGCGACATTTTTGTTATGACGAGTTAGTGTGTGTCATCCTACTTATAGGAAGACTTAAAACGGGCATCTAAAAGAATTCTTCTGAAGTTACATGCCTGAAAAAAGGCTTGTCAGATTTACACTATTTTCTTGAAGTTAAGAACTCCATCTTGCAAGAATAAGCAAAGAATTAGGAGGTGGGATGAGAAGCCAATCATTATCAGGGGTCTGTCCAGAAATTTTGTGAAAGGTCTGTTTTTGTAAAATTTTGAAAAATTTACTCGTAATTTGTGAATATAAAATAAACCTTAGGTCACATTCTTTCAACCAGGGTCCGCTTTTGTGAATTTGTACAAATAGGGTCGGCTATTGCAAAAAAACTTTTTCGAGGAGTTTTTAAATTGAACGACATACAAGATTATGCTCAACACTGTAAAATTATAATTAAAAAAATTTAATTTTAAAAAATAAACAGCAATTGCAGCTACTAAATTAGCGATGCAACGTATAAATATTTGGTATTTAGCCTATACTGCTGAACGCAGAATATTAATTTCGGATGAATAAAGGAAGAAGCGTCTGTCGAAGACAAAATTCGTTTACATCTGTCTTTCTCTCCCCCCCCCCTTCCTGGGAAGGGTTTATTCGATTAACAAAACAACAATGAAGATAAAAAAATTTGTGAAGAGTCCGATTAAAAGATAAATTATTTTGTGAATGGTCTGTTTTTAAATTAAAATATTTTGTGAAGGGTCCGTTTTTATGAAAATATATTTTGTGAAGGGTCCGTTAACGGACCCAAATTTCTTCTAAACAGACCCCTGATTATGTATTAGATTTCTGGCTTGAATTGGAATAGTCTTATCCCGGCAACACATGCCTGAAAGCTGGTTAAAAAAATTGGAAGTGAAAAATCAGGTTTTCATTCATTTCGTTGTCACATGCCTAATGTCAGGCTTCGTGTAAATGGGGGTAAAGTATTATTAAATCTATTTTCTTTGACTTATGCTAGTCTTCTAACGGAAAATTTCTAAAAAATCCAAGAAGCATAAATTTAAATTCTACTTTTATATTAATTGTGCTATATTTACTTAAAATGTGGTGCATTTATATCCTATACTTAATCATTACTTTTATTGTAAAGTTTTTTCTTACATTTTTTTTCAGAGATCTTATGCTTTTTCTTTATTTTATTAAAAATCTCCTTCTTAATTTTACACTCTTAACAAGGAAAAACCCTTTGATGTTGAATGGGGTTATGATATTAATATTTCATAAATAATAGGGGTAATGTTAAAATAATATTTCAATAAGTTTGATAATATATCAGCTACTTAGTTGAAATCAAAGTATTTTTATGTCAATATATGTTCTTTTTTTAAATTTTTTTTTTTTAAATTTTAATGTTATTCCTCGACTTGTTTTAAGGAAAATTAAATTCGTTTAATATTTGAATTGTAATATAATAATAATTTAAACTCAATAAAAATTTCAAACTTATAAGAAAAACTCTATTAAAATCTTATCTATAGTTTCAATTTGCTGTAATTATTTTCAATCACAACTGAAAAAAAAAATCAGGAAACAACAGTTAAGCAATATGTACTGTTAGCTTACACTACTTGATGCAATGGCTAATGTTGTTTCATACTTTATTAACTATGGGAACTTTCAACTCAAAATATATCTTCACTTCCAAATAAAGTCAATTTCAGTTTTATAATCAGAAGATTTTTAATGTAAAAGAAATATTATGTGAGCATTAAGTTAATATTTGTTGGGCATCAAGTGATTCTTAAAATAGTATCTACAAATGGTGTTGTGTTATTCTATTAAAAAACTTGTTTAAATATATTTATATTGTGTATTAGTATTTGCAGCCGATTTATAAGTTTTTATGATAAAAGACTAATTACTTCTCATAGAACAGTTGACAATGTATGTCCAAAGATACTTTATGTTCAATCATTAATAATGTATATGTTAATTAGAAAATTTGTTATCTCGATTTAATCAGCATGTTTCTTTTTCTTCTTTTATTTAATGTTTAGAATATCTGGGTTTTTTTAAAGGAAAAAAGATAGTTTTAGTCACATACAGGATTTTAGTTTTAACAACACTGCTAAAATCTGCGTGTTCAAATGATAAAGGGAATTTTTTTTTTTAAATTTTTAAAGAAATCTCTTCTTTTTTTTAAAGAAATCTTTTTGCTGAGGATCATAAGAAGATCATAATGTTTTAGTATGTGCTATAAACAAGTGTCATCATTTGTGCCACAATACAGAAGGAAAAGTACTTTAATTTGTCTGCATTTCTCAATATTTCATGTCTTGGAACTGATATGGTTATCGATTTATAGAACCAAAACAAACTGCTGCCTTTAATTTTTTTTTATCTGTGTTTTTGTTGTGTTTTAGATTTATTTATATTATTAATAGCTTAAAAGCAATTTTCACCTTGACTTGTGATAACTCTTTTTTATTTGTATTCTAAACATCAGTTTTATTTATTTTAGTTTGTATTCATCAGTACATAACATATCAAAAATAAGCTTGCATGTGTACATTTTTCATTAAACTTAAAATATATGGATCAATTAAAGTTACAATGCTCTAAATATTAATAACTTTTACAACTTGTCTAAGTTGCTAGTCACTTTTAATGAAACTATTGTTCAAACTCATTAAGCTCTGTGTTTTTCAGGTATTTTTAAAAAAATAGCATAATAATGTTAATTTGACAGCATACTTAAAGATATTGATGGGTTTTCAGAAAAGTGTTATGGATAACAAATGCTTTTGCTCTCCAAATTTGTGATTTTGAACCTGTTGCATAACCTCTTGTATTATTTTAATGGGTAGAAAACAAACATTTAAAAATGCTAAGTTTTCTGTAAAACACTATATATAAATCATAGAACTTTATGTGTTATTAGTGTGTTCAATAGAGCATCAAAATTCATTCAGTTTAAAAACATTGAAATAATTTATTCCTTTACTCATTTGTACTGTTATAAATTGTACATTAAATATAAAACTTTTCTAATTCTGAAGTAGCTTTTCCAGAATTGCATATGCTACTACCGTTTTAAATATTCAGAAAATTCTATTGAAGCTGAATTGAAAGAATTTTCACTATTTTCAAGTATTTAAAAAAAAAAAATCCAAAACACTCTAATGTTTCTTTTTTTGTTCTTGCATCATCAGTTTGTAACACTGTTTGATTTTGTTTTCTCTTGTATGTAGTTTTATTTATGTTGGGCACTCTACTATTACTGGTTTTGGATCTTATATGATTAAATTATGCATTTAATCATCCTAATTGGAAATAAAGTTTGCAAAAATGAAAGAACATTACTAAAAATGTAAACACAAAAGGGAAATTGTACCACAATGTACAACAACTTATGATTTGTTAACAATATTTAAGTTCATAGAATTATTTCTTTTTGAAATTTGCTTTTCATCGTGTTATTATGTTTATTATTATGTGTATTATTATGTTTCAAACTGTTTTACCTTAACAAAAAACTTTCTGTTAGAAACTTGTTGTATTTTCTGGATTAAAGTTTTGGATGTCCTAAATAGTTTATAGGCAAGATAGGAGATATGAATTTTTCTGCACTTAATTGTCTAAAAATGTCCCCCAAACCATGAATTTTATTTTTAAAAATATTCTGCATGTAATCATTGAGCCCATTAATACTTTAATTTCTGTCAAAACCTAACAATAATGCACACATTCTTTATTTTCAATTTACATTGACTTAACAAAAAATGTAGTAAAAAAATTTAATACCTATTGAGATTCTATGATTCATTAAATATATATGTGTGTGTGTATATATCTGTTTCACTTTTCAAAATTTTGCTAAATTACTATACTCAATAAAAATGATAATTTGGAAGTTGGATATTTTTAGAATCAAATAGTATCAAACATCTATTTCCAAGTTATTTTAAATGCATTTTAAAAACAAAGATTATTTTATAGATTTAAGTTTAATTAGTAACATAATTTTGGTTAAATGTTATATTTCTTACACTGAATAATAAATTGTTATGTAATTATTACGTTAATTACAGATTAAATTGTTATGTAACATACTGATTTAAGTAGGAGTTTTGGATAGGACAGTTTAAGTCATTGTGTGCAAAACCTTGCCATCTCTGATTATTCTCTGATACAGTTTTTAATACTTGAACTAAAAGAAATTCATTTTATCATCCTTGTTTTCTTCGTATTTTTAACTTTATATGTATATATATTATACGTTAAAAATAAAGAAAACAAGGGGAAAAAAAATATTTTTTAAGAAAAGAAAAAAATTATTAATAATTTTTTTTACTAATAATTTTTCTTCTAAGTTAGTTATAAATGTAGTTAGAAATGAATGAGATAAGTTAGAAATTAATGTTTTAAATTCATTCTTTCAAATTTTTTGACCTTCTTTGATTTTCATTTAATTTATCTAAAAAGTGGGTATGTTAGGCAGATACTTTGTTTCGTTGTTTATAATTTTTGATAATTTTTTTGCATTCTTTTCTATGAAGCAAACTACTTCACTTTATTAAATAGAAGTGAGTGTATCAGGGGAAAATCTCTTTCTTATTGTGCGAGCAACCCATCCCCATTTGCAACTGAAACTACATTAAGAGTTTGATACAAGAATGTTTTGCTCAAAGCAATTTTAACAAATTGTTTTGTGCATATCTATTTTTCTATTGAAGTTTTTAAAAGTGTCAAAGAAACTAAACTTATTTTAAAAGATTGAAAATTCTGAAAATGTATTCTGTTATACATTAGTGTGATATTTGTTAGATTTTAAAAAAAGTTTATCATCCATCAACTGTTGCCCTATATGACTGTATTATATACAAGTTTCTAAATGACTCAATGGCTGAGCTTTTAGTCGAGGATTTTTTATAAAATCCAGTCATTGGATTTACCGGTATATTTATTGAGAATTAATAGCATTTTATCATGTGCCATTTAATTATTTATTTATTTTTGTTGTTTGAAAAACCTCTGTCTTTCTCTTGTACATAAACTTATTTATTTTAAAATATTATGTATGAATAAATCCTTGTTAATAAAAAGTCAGTGGCATTATTAGCTTTTGTTGTAATTATTTTGTACTCATCCATGGTGCGTAACGTCTTTAAAAAGTGCTTAAAGGTACTTATCTTCCATTTTCTTTTTTTAAAAGACCTTAAAGGTGCTTTTTTCATTGGGTGTTTTTAAAAGTTCTTAATTTTCCCTTTTCGAAAATGTAATTTTATTCTTTACCATGTCGATTTTCGCC